CTAGAATTAACGACGCCCGTCACATTGACGCTCACCGAGGGCATTAAATCGTTGCCCAGGCGAGACACAAAGCGCCCGGCATTGGACGTACCACGAGCTTCAATCCTTCCGCGCTTGAACAGGCCAGCACAATAATCTTAACCGATACTGCTTTGAACCCTTCAAAGCTGTCCACGTGTGTAGAAAACGACGACCTGTCTTTAGCCACTCATGTCCTGCGTAACGTTGGTCGGTGGCGAACAGCTTCCAATCGTGTTTACATGAAGACACCCAGTAGCTGATCTTGACTAGGGAGATGGAATCGACGGCATCATGTAGCCAGTCCGGGCAGTAGTAGAAGCACGAGCGACGACGGTACGAGCGACAGTAACGCCTGACGAGCGGGAGGAGGATTGACGGTATCGTACAATCCTGGCTGTTTTGCTGGCCGAAATAAAAAGCGCTGAAACTTGAGTGGTCTATCACTCCGTTCCGCGCTCTTGAGAACGATCATGATAAGGCACCACGCAGCAAAGCCCGCTTCGGCTAGTGCACACTTGTTTGCGCTGCGTCGCAGGTCAAATATGTTTCTGCTTCTTGAAACGATGAAAATGTGTCTCAGAGACCGACCGTGAAATTTTTGGAATTAGGAGCGTTAAAGAACATCAATTTAGTTTTAGAATTTAGAGACCTTCCAATTCAATAACTTGTTCAATGTATGGGGTGAAGGCTCATTAGCGAAAACTGAAGGCTCATTAGCGGTATCCTTTTTAAAATGGCTATCTATTCGAATCTGAGTGTATTGTTTGGTTATTACGCTATGTAACAATTCCACATAGGGATAGGAGTAATATGTTTTTCACTGTATGTAAACTTAAATGAAATTAACTTAATGAAGCAAGGCGAAAAACAAAGACTTACGTATAGGAGCTAATGCGCTAGCTATGAAACGTTGGCTTCATTGTTCAATTTACGAAATAAGGTGGTGGCCACGTCTTTGCCGGACCTGAACAAATTTATGTACAAGCCCACCCCATGATCAAGATTTACAATGCAGATGTGGATGACTACGGTGATCCGGCGTTTGATGTATCTCCAAAAGATGAGACGCTGTACACAATTCCGTCGGTCAAGAATACGATAGACAGATTTAGAGGATCACAATATGAGTACGGGTAGGAGGCTAATATCGAAGACCGCACATCCCAAACGTCTCAATATACAATTTATTCAAAACATCGGAACAAGTTCGACCGTTCAGGACAAATACCCGTCGTGCGACGACCCGAAAGCTCCCGTGCACCTTTTGGTGGGTGGGGCCGGTCAGTCGGAAGGCCTGTCGAGCGCACCGACAAACAGAGCCTCGTGGAATGCTGTCACGGATTACGAGCACACCGGGTACGCAATGCTGCGCGCGAATCGCACAACGCTGTCGTGGAAGTACATCTCGAGCGCCGACGAGTCCATCCTCGATCACTTTGCTATGGTAAAGACCGATCCAGCGGCTGGAGGGTAACATGAATACAAAAGTGTGCGCTTGCTCGACTCGTGTGTGGGTGTGGGTGTGGTACAGTTTCCTCAGCCTTCGCTGCGGGTGATAGTGGAAGATCGACGACCTGAGACACCGAGTCAACTATAGCAGAGTGTATCGAAATTGACGTCTTTGGGCCGGGAGTAGGTCTGGTTCAACGCAGGGGAGGCAACAGAGGCTACGAGTCGAATGAGTCCCGGAGCGCTCCGCGGCAGCCCCATTGTTGATTGTACTGAGCGGAAGATGACACGAATGGAGGCTGAGGCGCCGCAGACGATTCAGATACCAGAGAACTTTCGGTGTGCAGCAGCAGATGGATACGGCAGACCACGGTATGCGAACGATGCAGGAGAGACGGACAAGATCGGGGCTGTGTCAGAACGCGTCAGATGGTTACCGAAGAAAACCCGGATATGGTCTCCAGTTTGATTGGCTCATGCGGGGGGGCATTAGTCGACGAAAGCTGTGAGATTAGACCATATTTCATCCATAGCAGATCACGAGGGTTTCCTTTGCTTCATTTCCTATGCATAGCCGTCGTCGCGACTGGACTGCTTGACTAGTTCAGAATGCTTAGCAGTTAAGGGCAGTCGTACTCGTTCAAGCAGCTAAGGCAGTAGTACTTGCATAAGCAGTTGCTTGTGTATCTCTTCTCGGAACTATTTTGCGACGCTACGTCAGCTCGTGGCCGTTTTTTGCAGTGATGATCATTCGAACCCGACACGAAGGGAAATTGTCTCTGCGCACCGAGTCGCACCTGACGTTTTGATAGGTTGCGAAGCAGATGGGCCAAACGAATCGACCAATTTGATCCTTGAATATCACGTTAGAAAGCAGCGATACTACAACTGTAAACACTCCGCGGTCTCTGCGGTGATGCAGCTTACCATGTAGCAGTAGTAGATTTGCACTGCGAGCACGCTGAGGTAGATGGCGTTCGGCAAGCTCACAGTGAAGATGCCGACATCCGGTTCTTCCGTATTGGCATCGGTATCTTTTTTGTATTGGCATACCGACGGCAATGCAATGCCTGCCGTTTGCTAGATTTACTGTCACAAGTGATTGGCATGGGCCGTTGAATGTCGAAAGCGCAAAATCGTGACCGTACTGGCAAGTCGTGGATGGCTCAACCAGTCTCCAGCTCGTGCCGAAGTTACCGTAGGCCCGTCCAGCGAAATGTCCCTAGAACCCCCTCTTTTTCCGAGGCGGCACATCGCCCCAGGTGCTTCGGTGTTCTCCGGGCAACGAGTGGACACGAGAGGGACACGAGATGGAGAGATTCATCTGCTAGCAGAAAGGCTGTGCTCGACGACAACGCGGATGTTTACACGAGACCGGAACGTCCTCGAGTCGAGGGAAGCGCAGCTGATTCTTGAGGTGGACGTGCGAGCTCCAGTTACAATGGCACGGAGCTCGTTGGTTCTGTTGTATCGCCTCCGTCACGGAGAGGTCGGAGACTGTTGAAGCAAAACCTGGTCGGCCTCGTACCTCCGATCGACCCGCGTTCAAATGATTTGCCCCGAAGTGCTGACACACGTTCTCGTTGTCAGTCCCCTCCCCGTGTGACTCGCTTTTTCCCAATGAATGTGCTTCCGCTTTTTGCTGTAGCGAGCGGCTTCCACCGGTTGTTCACTCTTCATTCGCCTTCCTCACCGCAACGTCGATCCCCACCTCTCTCAAGAACGGCAAACATTCGCCTCACGCGTCAAGTGGTTGTCCCAGATGATCGCATTCGCTTTCCCGCTCTGGTCGGTCGTGGTGTCGGCTTTTCTCGTCAGCGCCAATCTCGTCATCGATGACCACGCGTGCCACTTCAACGCGACCCGCGATGTCTGCATACCTGAGGGTTTGTGCGAGATGGATTTCGAGCTTGGCGACCTCGACGTTGACCAGAGCTGCCGGGTGAAAAGCGGGGTGAACTTCTACCCGCAGCAGATCCACTTGGCTTTCGCAGGAAAGGTGGCGGGCACAGCAATGACGGTGTCGTGGGCGACCTTCGAGCCGGTGACGGACAGCGCCGTGTGGGTGGGCAAGTCCACGAACAAGCTCGAGCTGGTCGACACGCCGGTGTCTGGCACTAGTTACTACAACGATAGCGACTACAACTTGTTCCACCACCACGCGACAGTCACGGGTCTCAAGCCCCATACGAGATATTTCTACAAGGTGGGAAGTCTCAGCGACGACAAGTACACGAGTGTTGTCAGTTCGTTCGTGACTGCCCGAGCCGCCACAGACAACAGCTCGTTCAGCGTGCTCATCTATGGCGACCTCGGAGACGGCAAGAACTCGGTTGACACGATTGCAAGCATCAACAACCTCACGTCGCACAACATCGACCTCGTGTACCACCTCGGCGACATCGCGTACGCCGATAACGCTTACTTGACCCTCAATCAAACCGCAGGGTTCTTTTACGAGGAAGTGTACAACAAGTGGATGAACTCGCTGATGCCGCTGATGAGCCGTGTCCCGTACATGGTGATAGTGGGGAACCACGAGGCAGAGTGCCACTCGCCACGATGCTGGGCGTCCAGTGCAAAGCGGAAAGCGTTGGGCAACTACGCTGCGTACAACACGCGCTTCAAGATGCCGAGCGAGGAGAGCGGTGGTGTTTTGAATATGTGGCACTCGTTTGACCACGGCCCGATCCACTTCACGTCGCTGTCGACCGAGACGGACTACCCAGACGCGCCGTACAACCAACTCGCTCCGAACAAGAAGTACGGAGGCTTTGGGGATCAGCTGAAATGGGTTGAAGCGGACCTGAAAAAAGCAAACGCGAACCGGGACAAAGTGCCGTGGCTTTTCGTTGGCATGCATCGTCCGATCTACAGTATCGCTGATTCCTCGAACGACGCGTTGGTCGGGCAGACGCGGTCTGTCCAGGTAGCGTTTGAAAAGCTCCTGCTTCGGTACAAAGTGGACGTGGTGTTGACTGGCCATCAGCACTACTACGAGCGGCACCTACCAGTCGCCAAGAATAAACCCGTGATGAACGGCGTGTCGGCGAAACACACGTTGTACAAGAACCCGAAAGCTCCCGTGCACCTTTTGGTGGGTGGGGCCGGTCAGTCGGAAGGCCTGTCGAGCGCACCGACAAACGGAGCCTCGTGGAATGCTGTCACGGATTACGAGCACACCGGGTACGCAATGCTGCGCGCGAATCGCACAACGCTGTCGTGGAAGTACATCTCGAGCGCCGACGAGTCCATCCTCGATCACTTTACTATGGTAAAGACCGATCCAGCGGCTGGAGGGTAACATGAATACAAAAGTGTGCGCTTGCTCGACTCGTGTGTGGGTGTGGGTGCGGTACAGTTTCCTCAGCCTTCGCTGCGGATGATAGTAGAAGATCGACGACCTGAGACACCGAGTCGACAAGTGCTCTCTCTCTCTCTCTCTCCTTTCAGCCACTTTTGGCGCTGCTACTTCAAGGAATGGCCGTTTTTTATTACTAATTCTTCGAACCAGACAGCCACAAGGAAAAATGCCCCCGCACACCGAGTCGCCAAAGCCGCTGGAACTGACTGCGCTGGTGCCCAGTACGGGCGGCAACGACGACTACCGCTCGACTGACGCGTGGATCGCCAAAGTCTTCAAGCGGCGGCGGTGGCGAACAGTCGCCAAGTCCCGCAAGGACAGTCGCGTCCAGCGCAAAGGGCTTTCGGGCGTCGACGATGACGAGGAGCAGAGCTACCGTGACGAGCTGGCCAAGTACATTGCCGAAGCGACTGCGTACTTGGCTGAGGAACTGCCCAACGAAGTGGACACGGACGCTTTACACAACGGGTATCGGCCAAAGTCTCCGTGTGGAACTGTGCTCGACTGCAATGCAGCAAAGGGGAACGAGTACGTGAAGCCGCCCGTTGACATTCCGCGTACTTATCGCACTCAGGACCTTCAAGGAGGTGTGCTCGTGGGCGGACAGTACGTGCTGTTCACGAACTGGGCGTTTAAACACCTTTTGCGTCGGAGGAGGTGTCTCGCGCCGTATCCAGAGCACGAGTATGAAATGCTATCGGCTTGTGGAGAGAATACGAGCAAAGGAGTGTACTTTGGACAAGTGGTGGAGCTGTAGAGTACGTGGGTGGGGATGCTGGGAAGAGCAACGAAAGACCCACAAGCAGAGCTGCGTGCGCACAAGTACGTGTAGAAGGCTGCGAATGGGCCCAAGAAGACGCAACGTAACAGCGCATGCCATCCACGACAGCACTTTGTACAACACGACACCACTGCAACAAGCGCTGTGCAGCACGCGACTGTCCGTCGGTATCGGACACTTATGTTGTCTGGGTACTGCTGACCTCGATCGAATCGCAAAAGGCTGTCATCGTCGCACGGACAGCCTCAACACGCGACTAAGAAACGTCAGCGATGGGATGCCGTAATCGGATGAGACCGACTGCTAAAGCCACTACTTTCTCGTTGTGACTGTGTTTCGACTCGGCCGTCAAGCGTTGCCATGCCCAATGTCTTCGGTTCGTTAGCTGACGAGGCTCGCCGCCGTCGCAGCCAAGCGATCTGAGTACAGTGCTCCGATGCCTTTGGACGTTGTATCAATTAACGTCGATCTACATAGCGGATGGTTCAACGTTGCTGCACGTCACATTATCCAGCAACGAGAACGAAAACAACTTCGACAGCTCCGTGCGTCCACATCACGGGCCAACGAATATACGAAGAGATCGCACTCAGCAGAAGCTCTGCCGCGGATGTCAAAGGGTGACAGCATATACAGCTCGAGCGACTTGTCTGGCTACTCACAGACGACATGAGTTACATCCACAACATTTTCCGTACCGGCACGACGACAGTCGTTCTCTTCAAATGTTTTGTTTGCGTCAACCCGAGCGAATGTCTGTACCAACGGATCACTGCCAGTCATGCAACTACGAGCACCGCCAGTGCGATTACAAAGCTTCGGGTACGCACACGGCTTCCAGTAGCTTCAAGGTATCAAATAAAGAGGCAGCTGCCAAAAGTGCGACAAGGCCTTTCGCTGCGCAGGTTATGCTGCACGCACGTGAGCGATAGACGCACAGTAGCTTCTGTGCAGGCTTTCCAGCGCCAAAATTTGAGACCAGCATCCATGCGAACTCGACCACCCACAATGTACCGGCACGATTAAGCAAGGGAGAAGCTATGGTCCTGACGTGTACTGCAAGTACTGCTTTGTTCTGACCACTCTGAGGCACAGTCGGCTGTTGTGCAGTTGTAGCCATGCCTGTTTCGTTGGGCTAAATAGTAAAAGGGTACGTGAACTACTACCACATCATCGAACAGAATACACACCGGTCCATCTTCTACGACGTGGCAAAGGTGTACCCGTATCATATCGCTCCAGTTCGTTACGCAACAGACTCAAACACCATCAAGTAGGCAGTCATGCGATATGTGGAAATCGATTATCGCGCTTCTTCGGTAGCGCAGGTGTGCCACTAAAGTCTTCTTGCCCCTTCACCAATCGACTACACCTACCCTGTTGTCACTTCCAGGTTAGTCGCTGCCAACTGTGCGCACTGGCTCTTTCGCTTGGCGTCCTACTTCCGTTGCTGACTGCACGCCCGCCCGTCTATTTCGCGTTCTTCCTGCCCTTGTAAACCTGCTTGCCGTGGTCCCACGGAACGTAGTTGTGCTTCCACATGTGCTTGATCTGACGCTTCATCGTGAATGTAAAGAGCATAATGAAGTATACGAACAGGATAGGCCAGAACACCGGTACGTTGAAGGCGTTGCTGAGCGTCATGAGCAGCGACACAGTAGTGGCCTTGAACGTCGAGTACCAAAACTGGAACTCGGGCACGCGGCGCGTAAACGGTCGGAACTCCTCGCTCTGCTTGTGCGGAAGCAGTGGGCCTTCACTCTCCGTGTCCACCTGAGGCGACAGAAACCCGATAAAGAGATTCAGCAGGTAGATGCCCAAGCCGTACGTGACAATGTGGAACGCGTTCAGGTAGAACACGCGCACGAGGTACAGCGTCAAGAGACCAATCGTCAAGCCCCAGCGCCCGTACACGTAAATCGTGCTCTTGTCCAGCAGGTACTGCCATTTCCTGTGGAAATTAATATTTACACCACAGCGCTCTGGTCAGAACATCGACGGTTCGTATACAGAGCCGTACGGCAACCGCCGATACAAATCCACATACCTCTTGATCGAGGCGCTCACTCGCGCGATAAACGGCGGCTCCGTGAGGCTACGCGAGTCCCCTCCCTCCATATTCGACTCACTGCGGGTCTGGGTCGTCTGCGACGTGCTGAGGCTCGTGCTCGTGCTTCCAAGTGGCAGCGGATGGAGTGGACACTCCACGGAATGTGAGAACCGGTGGGCGGTGTATATTAGTGTGGTACACGCTATGTTCGCTTTCTTCTGCGCCGGGTGAGCGGTTTCAGGTCAAAGCGCTCGATGGAAGTCTGGGTGCTTCGCAAAATCTTCTGGATGCTAATCATGGCGTCGCGGACAAAAAAGTAGACCCTGTGTGGTGTGTACGTACAGTTGTCAGCGCATGGGCAATTTAGAGTGATAGTGGTGAGTAGTACCCACCGCTTTGTTTTTGGAGGATACCTGTCTCCTCGCCTCCAGCTCCGCACACTTGGCGTCTTCTGTCGCTACTTCAAGCTGCAAGTGCAGACCCTCTGTCTTGATCATCTCAATGGAGTAGATCTGTGCAAGAAGAAAGCACTCGTAAATGTGAGCAAAGAATGATGGATACGAACAGGCGTGTTGTCCTTACGTACCTTATCGAGCATTTCCCAATCTTGCCAAAACTGCTCGTGCGTTGCCACAAACAAGTCGTAGTCGCTCTTGTCAAGAATTGCCGACCGACCATGGTAACGTGCAACCCGCTGACAGATTTCTTCAACAACGGACGGATAGGATGACACGTCTGGCGGTCGAGCCAGCTTCACTCGATCGGACACAAGCGCTGAACGCACGCGAGCTCGCTTGACTTCGGCACCAGAAGACGAGGGCTTGACAGGCTTTACCGCACAGATGTCCACTGCCTGACTCAACTGAGTACCATCACTAGCGTCGACCGCATTCACAGTTGCATCACACTTACTTTCAATTTTTGGTAACTCCACATGATGCGCGTTGGCATCCACATCTCGTCCTGTAGCCACATCGTCCTCTGTGGTAGACATTGACTTGTCCGTGGCCAGACCAATGTCGTTCAAGGCCGCGACAGCCCGATCATTTTTCGATCTTGTCGCTTCACACGTCTTCTGCTTTTTCAGCACTCGGCTTCCACTGTTGATATCACTCTCTTCCTCACATGATTCTGACGAGAAAAGAGCATGGAAGTCCGCATCGCGAGCAGAAGCGGTTGTCTGGCCGTTGACTACCGTTCCGGCTGACATCTTGTTTTCTTGCTCTTGGCTTACAGGTTTATCCTGCGCTTCCATCTCCACCATAAAACCTCTCTCGATTTTCTCTTTGGCGTCTTTGGCGTCTTCCTTTGATAATGCAGAAGGCAGCAATAATCTCCTGGACCAACAGTGAGTCGAGCAATCAGACAGTATATAACATTACACTGTGTAATGAGCATTTCGGCCGTACCTCTTGAGACCGCTGGCTGCACTAGTAGAAAACTTTGGAATCGACGCACTCAGTAGCCTCGTCGTACGTGTCTGCCGCTTGCCATTTTTCTGCCCCAGCTTGGAGTCGATCATTTTCGATGATCGAGACTTGGACGCCAGTACGGACTTTGCGTGTTTGTCCTTGATGCGGTCCTTCTCCGTATCATCCAGCAACCGCTGTACCAACAGCTTCTGGTGAATCTCGCCCGTCTTGTATATAGTGTAGCCACTCGCGTGATCTTTATCTACAGGTCGACGAAAGGTGCAGACGTGGTTGATACCCGGGTCTTCGGAAAACGAAAGCAGTTCGTAATGCTCTTCGGTTCCCGCTAGATCGACCGTCAGTAGACTCGTCTTTTTCTTGCTGTCGCGAGTTTTGGACGATTCGTCAGTTTTGGTCACATTCAACCGAAGTGAGACCTGAGCTGGTTCCTGCCGAAGTTTGTCCAGCAATTCGGGCGTAAGACGGACACGAGCTGCCCAGACTGGTGGCGTCGCTTCGCTGTCGTGTAGCGCATACTGAGCACAACGCAGAGATGCACAATGTCACATACATTACAGGTGTCGGTTACAGTAGCTTATGGCATATTGCAGCATTCCATATAGCGCAGGCAGCTATCTGCGTACATTAAGTTTACCTGTGTATTTGCTTCCATGGCACTTTGCGAAAGGTGTCGCGAGTTGTCGTGGATGACCTTTTATTAGGAATGTATTGTATTTGATCTCAAAAGATGGATAATATTCAGTACTTTGTACAAAATCCATCTTTGTCCCATCCAACGATGTCAGACTTGTGTTTACATCTCGGAAATGGTCGATGCAAGAATAAATCTGATTGTGCGACTTCCGGTCCTGATCTAGGCAGATCATGTCGATCGGACGCAAGCGTCAAATCAATCGCTCGACTTGATCGATTCACATTAGTTTAATCATGGTCCTTGTTGGCCTGTTTTTGAGAAGAACATGTGAAGGACCTCATCTTGCTGGAAGTTGGGTACTAGCAATACCAATGTCAGGCTTGGGCTTTCTTCGAGCAATGCTGTCTCTTTAATGAGCGTCGCATACGAGACACAAATACGAAACGCGAGGGTACACCATCACCAATGTAAACGTGTATACCGCCCCCCACCCAAGCATAACAGCTCTACAAAAGGCTATTTACTCTGCTCAATGCCATTGCAAGTTGTTCCGACGGACTTACTTGACGGACAAGCGACTATGCAAAAAGCTCAGCGGCATACGGCTTTGCTTCTTCATCACATGTGACGCATCAGAGTGTCTTGAAGAGCATCGTAGCTCGCCTTGGCACCTGCTGGACGGTAGTTGTACCGCATGGTGTGCTTTATGTGGCTATCCTTTACATGCTTGTCGTCCTGTTTATACCGTTTGATTGTAAATTGCAGGTTGGATGTTCGATTCGTCAATACCACCGCTGTTTCGTACTTATCACATTAAAGTCGAATATATAAGTAGGCAGTTGTTTGTATATAACTAATTATGACAACCGGGTTGTAGCTCAATAGCCGATACGATACATGGCAGTAAGTTTCTCAGCTTTACTGACATCGGGCCTTGATTGTAGCTTAATACCTTGTCGCCCTCTTTCACCTTGCATATAATTAGGATCACGTTGTCAGACACTTCGGGGCCCAGGATACGCATTTTTGATTTATCGGGAGAAAGTCAACCTTGGCGACTGACATTTGTGAGGGGTGTATCGCTGTATCCGGGTATACACGTCGAGCACACATTCTTTCATTAGTTAGTTGCCAAAGAGTCGTTCATTCTCAGCACGTATCGTTGCCAACTGAGTATCGGTTATTTATTTGCCTTCTGTGATGAGCAATCATGTCCTGTTTGAGTTTGCATCTACGAAGACCCTACAAGAACAATTTGAGCTCAGGCGGAGTCAATCAAGTTATCTTAAGGCTTATCATTTTAAAGGGGAAGTCAGATCCTCCTCATAGGTGCACACGCTTGATACATCACCGGCCAAGCCCATATTGCGTCTAGCATATTACATTGGCTTGTTGCCTAATCCTTTCATAGCTTTGCTTGCACGCTTTTTGATATAGGATCGCTCATTTCCGCTTCCGAGCAGCCAATGTTTTCTTCGTCTATAGATGCTTCTTTCCACGCAAGCATCTATGCTCCAGCCAACTTGCATCGTTCGAGTCCTGGAACTTCGAAGGTGCCTGTTCGTCTGCTCAGCAACCGCCAACTTGTACCCAACCATAAGATCTACTACGTTGGCTTCTTGTGCATTCTTTCTAACAAGCGGTCCTCGGATGATGTCATCGTACTCACTTCCAAGATATTTGGATATAGAAAGAACGCACCAAAATTAAACTTTAGAAGTATTTTATTGAAGAAGGACATGCATCTTCACTTTTAAATGCGTTATCCTATACTTGTCGCGTACCTTATGAGTCTTAACGACCGAGAAGTCCTGGTACAGAAAAATTACTAGAATGAACAACCATATATATTCGGCATCAATTACTAGTTTGACGAAGCTGTGCCCGCCAAGATTTGCCGGGCAGATATAGATCGTTCATAGATGGCTCACATAGGCATACTAAGAGATGTGCGGCTCGCCGAGACCCAGATCGCCGATTCGCGCGTTCTTGCCGACTGCGAGAAGATATTAACCAATGCACTAGAGTGATGTATAGAGAAACGATAGTGACGGGGTCATACATGTGGGTGCCACAGAGAGATTAGGAGAACAATTGGTTAAAGCACAGAACGTTTAAGTATATGTTAAGTGTTCAGTCCTCCGAGAGATCCCTGTGCGGATAGTACTATACCTGCCATTCACTCGCAAACATTATAGCTTGCATCGATTTTGACTGGCAGCCTCAAGAGAATAAGTCGGCCCGGGGTGAGCACTTACTACAAACGATAATGAGAGCTTTGTTGAAGGATAAGACGATGAATGAACACAAGATACTGTAAAGGCTTTGTCAAGATACGATCTGGTAAACCTATAAGACGGTATCGCACATATTCGTCAATCGACGAGACGTTGAGTCTCATATGCGAGCACCGTACTTCTTCTGCTGGGTCGTATCCGCGCCGTCGGCCAATATACAGTGCGTAAATCGCCAGCTTTCACCCTTTCGTGTAAGATCACATAATTATCAGAAATAGAAGCTACTGGGCACAGACAGGTTTCATAAGAAATTGGTTGCGAGTGTAGGAATTTCAACGACATTCGAGTCTCGGAGCAAATACAACACTGACATGTATGCAACGGGACTAAAAGTCCGTCTATTACCTGGACTAGTCTCACATTACGCGTATTCTCACCACCATTGTCTCGCAGGCTCTCGGATTCGTCCTGTATTATGTACCTATCCCATTTCACCGTTTTGACCCGGAGATTGCTATGTTGTACACTAAAGCTGTATTTTTTCGATTGGACTCAACAATTCGTCACGACGACACTAAATCCGAACATTTTTTGAAAATACATAACAGTGTCGGACAATCCTCTCTACCCTTCCTTCGCGACCAGATAACCGTTTTTGCGTTTCATTGTACTAGTTGTGTTAACAACTATCGTTTTTGACAGGTTTCAAGGTTCAAGTGCTATACCATGGGACTGTATCGCCTGATTGGCTGATTACCCTACGACGTGGCATGTAGGACCACGACGGGACGATCGACCAAATGGGACGTGTGGGACAGGGGAATAGATGGACAGTTGGGACTGTGAGAGACGGAATCCATGTGACAGGATGTCACCTGGGACAGGAAGAGACGGACACCATGTGTGACTTGACATGGTCAAATTGCAGTTTCCGTTTCTGGTCATGCATATCGTAGTGTAGAAGGAGGTAGTTCTTAACACTCAATATATTTAACTTTTACTTCCTGCTTCTACTGCGCAAGTGCGCCTATGTTCAAACAATTTATGAGCCCAACTAAACGTGACGACGGTGCGGCTAGACGAGCTAAAGGAGCACACGTCGTGGTGGTCGACGATCAAGGCAAGGCCGGTGACGAACATTTGGAAGAAAAGCCGGCAGCGCTTTTGGAGGCGATTAACCAAGTGCTGGTTATGCTAGGGGACCTCTTCGAAAGAATGAATCGTATGGAGGTCTCCCAGAGAGAGCAAGACAACAAGCATTGGGAGGACTCACCCGAGTCGAGTGTCGCCAGTCGCGAGAGGGAGGTCGGGGCAGGGTTGAAAATTCGGACCCTGGAGCACACCCCTCCTGAGGGACCTTCAAATGTGTCGCCAGCTACCTACTTCGGTGTTCGGCTACAACAACAGGCAGGTGTTAAGATACCACCTGCAAGATATGCAGGTCCGGAAGTCAACATGGGTCAGGCACCCGACCACGGTGTATACAGGGCGGGTTTACTTGCGGAATATCATCATGGCATGGGTATCCCCAAACGAGGATATGTACACCCAGGGCATCCAAGAATTGACATGAGAGACGCACAGCAACGGAAACTCTCGTTGCAACCTTTCGATGGAAAGGAGCTCAACCAAGGCCTTGGCTGTGGATTCATGGAGTGGAGAAAGGAATTTGTTCGACAAGTCGGATTTGCAGAACGTGCATGTGGCTTTGTGTGACCAGAGGACATCAAGGTTGATGTCCTAGGCCAGCACCTAGCTGTAAAAGCGCAAACCTACTATCGTCGTCAGGTGATAACATGGTGGCTTGAAAGCCAAACCCTCGAGCACGCGATGCAGAGACTGCTACAGACCTTCACAACGAAGATATCACCGGCACAGAGCATAATGTTGTTCACGGCACCCAAGGCACCTCATCGAAACTGGACGGACCATTTTCTATACTTGACGGCCGTCAGTGATGCCTGTGAAGGTGCAAACAGTCTTGTGCTGGACAACGTCGTTCACTATGCTGCCCCAAGCATGCGAATGACGATGTTGTCCAGATTAGACATCTATTGCAATGACGACATGCGGCAAGCAGAAGAGTTGGCGCAATTTGCCCAATCGACGGAGATAGACACTTACGCGAAGAATTTTGGACGCGATGTTGTGAACGCTGTTCATCCTGGGAAGGAGTTGAAGGACAAGCCCAATCCAAGATCATCGTCACCACTAACCGATTCCCAGACTTGCTTCAGATGTGGAGAAGTAGGACATATTTGGTCGCGGTGCCCAAATTCGAGGAAGGAGTCCTCGGGTGCGAACTTTGTATTCGCAGTAGGCCATGGTTCGAATCGTTCGCCTGTTCAATGAATTCTCGACAGTGGTTCGAGCAGACACTTGGTCAATGATCCGAGTCTGCTCACCGACCCGACAGATTGTCGAAGTGAGTGCATGACGGCCGCCACAGGTGGCATCACCATGCAAATACCGTGGACATCCAAGTCGTTGCACTTGGAGTCGTGAACACAGTAAGACTCATCAATGTTCAGTACGCGGAGAATCTCGAGCGTAACATCCATTCGTACGTATTGCTTGAGGCCAAAGGTTGCGTGCTCGAATATCGAGGAGGGAGGCACGTGTTGTCATCTGGTATGGGTGGGACGCCTATCATGGATGTGGAATGTTGCAACAACGTTTTGGCTGTTGCTGTGACGAATCGCAGCGAATGTAGTCCCAAGCCACCACGAGAGACAATGATGACTGTCATTAATCCACTTGAACATGAATACGTCTCGGACG